TCCCTCCCTCCCTCTCCCTCTCCCTCTCCCTCTCACTGTTGGCCCATGAGGATGTGGAGAGAGGGGGGAAGGGCGCAAAGCGACAGAAAGCTTTACACGATTCACCGAGAAATTGTTATTTTTTAGGACCAACCAATAATCTGAAAACGGTTCTCCAAAAATTGTATCACAGGGATTGGTACCTAAGAGGCCATTCTTACTATTTTGTATTTGTTTAGGACCATAAGTGGGTGGAGCCTTACATTTGCTTTTATGGCACTGAAGTGTAAAAAAAATGATCTAAGCAGCTTACTAAAGCAGTATACCAAGGGCGCGAGATGATATTCCAGGGGATGTGAAAACTTGGGTTTTCAAAATTATAGTGTATATGCATAATTCATTGCCATTATTTCGAGCTTTTGTAAGGGGTGAGAAAATATATCAGAAACGTTTTAGGGGTGCTGGATATAGAAAAGGTTGGGAGCTGCTGCAGTATACAATAAACTACCTAGCACTAATAGTAATTAGTAATTAGTAATTAGTAATATAGTAATTGCTAATATGCAGCATTACTATAATACCACAATCATTACAACATTGTTAATAGCAGTCACATATAATCTAAATGTCTATTTTAGATCTGACAATACAGAGTATCACCTTCAGAATAGCAGGAAACTGCCTTCAGTTTATAATGATCACGGAATTCTACTGGGCCTCAGCAGGTTCCATCTTTGGTGATGCATCTTTTCTTTGCTCTATGTTCTACCTGTTGCAGATGATGAATCTTAACATAATTATCCAGTAACAATAAACTGTGCAAAACTGTCTGCTAAGATTTACATCTTTAATCTTTACAAATATTGGGACTAGATAGAATTTTTTAATGAATTTCCCCCACTTTCCCCCCCAAATCCTTCTTAATCATTTGTTTCTTTTTGCTGCAGGCAAAGATGGGTCGTAGGAAGTCAAAGCGGAAGCCTCCACCCAAAAAAAAGATGACAGGAACACTTGAGACCCAATTTACATGTCCTTTTTGTAACCACGAGAAATCCTGTGATGTTAAAATGTAAGCTGTTTATATAAGTGATGGGAGAACACAGTTTCCCTGTTTGATGGCAAACAGAATTGGATATGATAGTTGTTGGGGCTCTAGGTCTCCAGAAAAAAAGATTTTGGAAACCAAAACATATTTTTCTAGATAGGGCAGTTGTGAAATTGAGAAAGTTTGGGGTGTTAATAGTAATCTAATTAGTATTAATAGTATTTTTAGTTGGTATGCTTATATCTAACACATAAGACCTAATTGCATTGTATTCTGCAATCAGAATTCTAGTGGATTGATTTAGACTAATAATACTATTTAATTGCAGTTTTGATTCTTTGTTCCAGGGAAAGAGCTCGGAATACTGGAGTGATATCCTGTACTGTATGTCTGGAAGAATTTCAGACCCCTATCACTTGTATCCTTTACTCATTTATTTATTTCAAGTATCAAATAATTGCTCTGCTCTGTCCTAGCTGTTCTCTACAATTAAGAAAAATATTTGGATTTTAGCCTCAATTTAATCAAACATTCAAGATGAGGATTGTGTATTAAATACAAGTATATGTTAAATCCACTTGCATCAAGACATGTAATTGGCATAAATGGTAACATTTACAATAAACTCTTGTTTGAGCCTTAAATTAATTGATATTAGTCCATTAAATGATAGTGGAAAGGATGAACAAAGAAGTTCTCTGGGATAACTAAATACATTGAGGCACATTAAACTGAGGTTTTATTGTATTTGGTAACATCTGATTTTGTTTTGCTGTGTAAATCTGAACTTGTTTTTGCACTTCCAGTTTTTATTTTAGGATAAATACTTTAACTGATTCTTGAAATTTGAATGTTCTGTCTTACCCAGTACTAAGACACTGTAAATGAACCTTGATCAAGATCCTATTAAGCACAATTGTATATTTTCCTTTGCTCTATGGTGTCTGTACAGTCATAATAGAAATATTAGTTTTGCATATTCACTCTGAATTCAGATATTTTTTCTGGTGTAGAAGATACATTAATATATTATTATCCTTCACCTTTGATCTTAAAGATCTTTCGGAACCAGTGGATGTTTACAGTGATTGGATAGATGCTTGTGAGGCAGCCAATCAATAACAACTTAAAGGAACTTGTTGGAAGTAATGTTTCTTTATTCAAGGGTAGGGATATCTGTTTCACAATGCATTGGAGATACAGCTGGAGTGACTATGAAATGCTGGTTTGTGCGCTTTTCTTCTATTCTGTAATCTACCTTTTTATATGAATATTGTGGAGTTTAGAAACTAATGACTATCAAAAAAGACCTGCAAGTGTGGAAAAGGTCAGTTTTTATTCAGGTTGATGCTTGGGAAATTTTTCTCTCAAGATTGAAATCGGAGGTTAAGTGTATCAAATGCTGCTGTTCCATTTTTGTTAATTTATTTTGGGCTTATAGAGAAGGGCTTCCATATAAACTTCTCTTCCATTCTGTGATGGTTCTTGGAATATTATATTCTATGTTAAATTGCAAGGTGTAGTCAGCAAGAATATACGAAATATAAGAAAAAATAGCCCTATCTTGGTCCCATGATACAAGCTTCATATTTATCTGTTGGAACAATAATCATGAAATCAACCTTTTTATTAATAACATGTCTCCAATTAGAATGGCAGTGTGTTGCCTCTGTTTCAGAAAACATTGTGCGCAGGACTCTTCTGTGACACTGGGTATGGGATTTTGAGAACTGTGTTATGTAATAAAGTATAATTCAAAGAAGCAAACCTGCATGACTGACTGAGAAATGGTGCCGTCGTCTTAAAAACATTTTGGTGCAATATACATAGGGAAATTTTACCAGTATATTATAATTCCTTTGGTAAGGACATTTGACCATTTTACTTTTAGCATAATACTATGTATTATTTCTTTCAATTGCTTTTTTTCCTAATACGTGAATCCCAGTAACAAATCTTTTTATGACTTTAGAATGAATATGTCCATGCATATAGGAGGGTAGGTAGTGGCTTGAGTGTGAATCTGGTATACAGTGCATTCAGAATGTATTCAGACCCCCTTCACTTTTGTCAGTTTTGTTATGTTGCAGCCTGATTTTACAGTTGTTGAAATTCATTTTTTTCTTCATTAATCTATACTCAGTACCCCATAATGACAAAGTAAAAACAGAATTGTAGAAATGTATGTAAATTTATTAAAAATAAAAAACTGAAATTTATCACATTAGAATAAGTATTCAGACCACTCAGTACTTTGTTGAAGCACCTTTGGCAGCAATTACACCCTTGAATTTTTTGGGGAATGATGCAACAAACTGGATTGGGGGATTTTCTGCCATTCTTCCTTGCAAATCCTCTCAGGCTTAGCCAGATTGAATGGTGACTGTCACTGGACAGCTATTTTGAAGTCCCTCCAGAGATGTTCAATAGGGTTCAGGTCAGGGCTCTGTCTGGGCCACTCTAGGACATTCACAGGGTTGTTCCTAAGCCACTCCTGTGTTGTCTTGGCTGTGTGCTTAGGATTGTTGTCATATTGGAAAGTGAACCTTCGGCCCAGTCTGAGATCCTGAGCACTGTGCAGGATATCCTTGTACTTTGTTCCATTCAGCTTTCCCTCAACCCTGACCAGTCTCCCAGTCCCTGCTGCTGAAAAACACCCCCACAACATGATGCTGCCACCACCATGCTTCACTGTTGGGATGATATTGGGCAGGTGATGAGTAGTGCCTGGTTCCCTCCAGACAACATTTAGAATTGAGGCAAAACAACTCAATCTTGGCTTCATCAGACCAGAGAATTTTATTCCTCACACTCTGAGAGTCCTTTAGGTGCTTTTTTGCAAACCCCAAGCGGGCTGAGTCTCTTTTGAACGAATTATATCCTTCCATTACTATAGCCCAGACATGTCAAACTTGTGATGTCACGTGATGTTGCGCGACATATTGGAGCTTTCCCCCCATTGCCAGCAATGGGGTGGGCACGGTTTCGTTGTGACACATCTGGCCCGCGGGCCGGCAGTTTGACACCCCTGCTATAGCCCAATCATGAATTCCATCCCTTGTCTTCCATGACTTGTAATGTAGTGAGTTTATCTTGCTTTCTGATTGTCAAATTGCCTCCCAATCCCATCATTTAAATAATATGTATGATTTTAATTTTTTATATTTCATTTTTCATAGCTGTCCTGAGTAAGTAGAAAGGCAATAAGTCAATTAAATAACCAACCAGTAAAATCTCTTTTCTTGGTAGGGGGTCATTCAGATTTGAAGAAAGCATTTCCTGGGAGGATAGGCAAGTCCCATTTTGGGGGAGGAAAGTCTCATGATAAGGAGGAATTGCCCCATAGCACAAAAGCAGATCTGGAACAGAGAGAAGATATATGCAGCTAACATCCTTATTAACTTGCTTTTCCAAATCAGAAAACTGGCAAGTCTAAACTCTTTTTTCTACTTCAAGGAAGTTAGTAGCAAACCACTTCCATATTGTTTTCAGGAAAAATATACAGTAGTCATGAAGATTCCAGCTATCAGAACAACTAAGTAATCTAAGAATCTGGGATCATAGAATGGTGTGTTCGTGGCAAATCAGCTGATTGGGCTTGTTTATTCTGAGAGAAAATGCAGTTGCCTAATCTTCAGGGCAGTTATTGATACTTCAGAAAGTATTCTGAGGACAGCCAAGAGGTCACTTTTTCCCAGTGTCTGTATAAATCTTTGGGCTTATATTAACTGGAAATTCAGGATGCATAGAATGGAGCTAAGTGATTGTTAGTGTTAAACCTTTTAAATAATAAGCTGTTATCTTCTTATTATAAGCTGTCATGTGAATGTATTCAACTTTTCCAGTGGGTCTCTGCTCCAGGATTCTAAATCATTTTGGAAATGAATCAGCAGCTTGTTAAGAAGCTAATGATATCACCACCCTAACCGAATAGTTATGTAAGTCAGATACTGGAAGCACAACCAAAGCAAGGAGGTGTCATCTACTGTGTGCTTTTATTCCTACCTGGATTAACAACATACTTGACAGTTTTTGCTTCACCCTGGAGTTTTGACAGTAGAATCCTCCCCTTTGATAAAGTTACTTAATTTTTTTCTGGTTAGTAAAATGGCAATCCTTGCGTGATGGCAAAACTGAAACTACTTCACCTAGTGAGACAAGTGTTTCATTGTTTTATTTATTTATTTGATTTCTATAGCTGCTCATCTCAGCAAATGACTCTCCATGGCTCACAATTGTTAATTCAGCTGTTTGGACTTCTGTATGAGTCTAGTCTGGATATGTTATATTGTGAAATGTGTACTTAGGGATTATCTCTTTGGAATTGCCTTGAATTGAACATCAGCAATGATGGGGCATACTAAATAGGCTTTTATTTGCAATTCTGTCCATCGGTTTATATGAAAATCAGCTGATTTGGGTATAATTTATTATTTGAAAAGTCACTGAGCAGATTTGCTACGACAAAGTGTTAGAAACTGAAATATTATTTCACTTTTAAGCCTGTGTTTCATTAGAATATTCTCAATTATTCCAAATATGCAAAATTAGCTCATGGTGTCTATATGCATACATCAGTAATGATTTTGGCAACAATACAGTGATGGTTGCTACTGTTACTTTCCAGATAGATATACAGATACAAATACATTAAATTTCCCAATCTTGCATACAGACCTTCAGTATTTTGAAAGTTTGTTCCTGCAGAAATATTCAAGTGACCAGAGACTGCCCTCTATGTTGAATTTTATGTTTAGTTTCAAGAGGAGCAAAAACTTTTAATGATAACTCATTTTCTGAAAGGCTTTTTCATGCTGTTGATTATACTGCAATTTAGAGTGTATTCATGATCATGTAGTTTCACATCTCATACTAAGAGTAACAAATCTAATGGGTTTTGCCTTTAGCACATTCTGCAGTGCTGACTGCTTCCATTAGAGATGCTTATATAAAAATTCAAACATTTGGAGAAACAAATAGCTTAGCTGATAGAGATTTCACAGAATAATTAAATTTTGTGTGGTTGTCTTCTCTTGCAATATCTTAGATTCAAAGGTTACAAAAGGCCTTGGAGATTGTGGAGAACCACTAAAGTAAATGATCTGACAGGTTGTAATAGGAAGGGTTATGGTGACATCTTCATTTTGTTTTGTTTTTAAACAGACATATCAGAATATGTGTTAAATAGCATTTAAAATAATATTTTAAAAGCCACCTTTTCTCTTCTTTTTATTGTGCCACAGTGAAATGAAGTAAATTTTAGCAGAACATTACAATGAAACATACCTTTTTATAGGTTTTTGTTTTAAGGGAAGTGTGCCTTTAGCTGTTCAGCATGCAGAACACCTGCAACTGTAGGAAGGATGTGGATTTTTAGGAAGATAAAGGGCAAGTGCTTTCATTGACTCCTATTAGCTTTTCAGTAGTATATATTTATGCCAGTTTTCCAAATGTTAATTTGGAAAATGAGCAAATATTCCTCTAGTTCTAGATAATTACCAGACAACATGGCATTAGAAAAAAATAGTGAAGCCAGCCATTCCTCAACTAAATATACATATAGATGACAGGCATACCAATCCTGAACTACAAGTGCAGGGATTAGATGATAATTGAGTAAAATTGTGATCAGTTAAAAGAAAAAATGTTTTAATATGCATAAATTACAGATTCATGGGCAGCAAAAAGTGAGATTTAGTGTGATGTTATATTCTAGGTCAGTGTTTCCCAAACTTGACAATTTTAAGGCATGTGGACTTCAACTCCCAGAATTCCACAGCCAGCAATGAAGTTCACATGCCTTAAAATTGTCAAGTTTGGGAAACACTGTTCTAGGTATTGGAGTAGAGTAGCCCAGAAAAGTTCATTCTGGGCGACTTTGAGACAATTTCTTTTTCTCAGATCAGGTATCTCACAATCTATCTTAACATGGGAGAAATTGGTGGAAAGGATGCTTCCTTTGAGTTCCTGGAAGAAAGGCAGAACACAGCTAGATGCACAGGCAAGTACCAGTAAATCCTACTTTCGTGCAAATTGTATACTGTTGGGCTTATAACTCAACCTTTGAATTGCACAGTATTGACTTTATGGTAGATGATTCTATCTTTGTACAAGGCACATGATTATTTACATAAATCAGGAAAAGAATGCTTTAAAAATAATTGCGGTATAACCTAGGTTCAGTTAGTTTTAACTAACTTCTGATGCCTTTAAATTCTTAGATTGTATGCAAACACACAAGTGTCTACTATTTACTGCAAATTAAATATGTGCATGGGGATGAATGGGATAAATAAAATCAGAGGTAATGTAGTGACATGCTGACTAATGAGAAATAAGTAAGGCAAGTACAAAGAAACATTTGTGTATTGCCAAGATATTCCTATCCATGTAATATGCAAGCAGGTTTATTAAAAAGCATTGAGCTGTTTTGCAGAAAAGTTTGTATTCTTGGGCAACTAGCTGTTCAGTTTCCAGACAGTTTCTGCCTAAAATTGCAGAGGTGCTTGGTTTAACTTTGCATTTCCCTTTCTGCACCATTCTTTCCAAATGACCTCATACTGGTCATCTACAAATCTTAAGGCATATTTATGTTACTCTGGTGGTGTTGCCTGGCTGGTGTGTCCAGCCTCCTGCAATCACTCTCCACCCATACACATTTTTCACAAGTTTTTGCTTTCCAAGAAGTCAATGGCTGGCTCAGGTTGCCACTGCTCTTGCACAAACTTTTTGTGTTTTAGGAAAGAAGTGATTGGAGCCTCTGGCAAAGTTAGCACATGGAGAACTTGCTATTTTATATCTAAGCAGTTCAAAAAATGTGGCTTGTCCTGAAGCAATTTGTGTAATTAATGAAAACAAAATAGAGTGCAGGAGCTAACAATTTTACAGGTTGTACCTTCATTGCCTGCCTCTGCATTGATCCAAAACATTAGCAGCAACTGGCACTGGGAAATAATGATTGACAGTTGCCAGGGCTTTTTGTCAATTGAGAAGCCAAATTAAGAGGACTCGTCCTTTTGTTTCTACTTCTCTCAACCTACTGGTTTTATTATTTGATCTTTCATCCTGAGAGTTTTGAGCCATATTAGTGCATGCTCAAAAGCAGTGATAGTAGTTGATAAGTCAAAGCGTGAAAGATATCGAGGTGAAGCTTTAACGCTCAGTGATGGGGAAGTCTGGCTCTGGCATGTATTAAGGAGTCCTTAGTGAGTTGGTTAGCAATTTAGGGAACTGAATCTTCTTATATTCCTGGGTTAAAATAATCACATGATGATGGATCTTTTAGGAAGTGCCTTGCAGTGCTGGTGTCTCTATATCTGTCCCACAACTCCTGCTGGCTATTCAGAGTTGTAGAAGTTATGATGGCTGTGGTTATATTGGTCCTCATCCTCTCCAATTACAGGATAGGTGGGCGTGAGACAATACTTGGAGTCATAGACTTGCCGCGGCAGCCCATACACAGTCATGCCTTGCTGTGAGGCTCCTTTGTTGCTGCCCATTTGCAGGGAGATATTCTGGGTGTCGCAGCGCTCCATGCCAAGGGTGGGCTCAAAGATTTGTCTCTTGGTTCCAGGAGCTGTCATGCCTGCCTGAGGTGGGGTGCAGTAGAGGAAAAAAGGGGAAGAATAGAAAAGTAAAAAGCAGTTACTTGGAGAAAGTGTGAAAGGACTGGAACAATTGATAAATGACCCATGCACACACATACACATATACCTACCAGTTGGTATTTAATATGATCACTAAAACTTTGTGTTAAAGAAAATATGCCACCTAAGGAAAATAATTTGGCTCTTTGCCTTATAAGGTATTTATTTTCTAATTAATACACCTCAGGATGAAGTAATTGACCTTCTAACATACCTCAAACATTTCTTTATCTTGATTTTTAAGAGCTAAAAATGAACATTTTGAGATTTGAGTACCTAATTTCTACACTACTCTTAGAGGAAAGAGCAAAGTATGACTTGTTTATGTCAAACTTATCTTGAGATAATGGTCTTTGCTTAGCTTGAATTTCCTTCAGCCTCAGTTCACATGTTTTCAGAGACCAAAAGCCAAGGAATCACGTGCTCCCAAATTAAATATTGATGTACAAACAGGAACAAGAATTTTATGTTTGGAAGAATTTGAGGGTTGTGTTTTAGTGAGGCCTAAACACAAGCTACATAAAAGTGTTCTAGATACAGTTACCTAGTTTCACACAGCGATCGTGTATGTCTGAAACCTTAGGAATGTTCCAGCCACATAGACTTGAAATGCTTCAGAGTCAAAGGCAAACAGATGCTTTGGAGCATGCATGGGCATAGCACCTGTCTAACTTCTTAAAGCAGCTGCACAGAAGTTGCTCTATGGTTGCTGCATACAGCTTGAAAATAGCTGTATATAGAAACCATGTGCCCTAAAGTACCTATTTGTCTTCAAATCTGAAGAGCCTAGTATTATCTGAATAAGCATACAGAAGTATACAGAAACTGCAAAGCAGGAACCTATCCTTCATTTCTACACAGAGATTACACTATGATAGAAGCAGTGTATCTGGTATAGTACACGCAGTTGTGGTAATTCTGCTAGTCAATAAATTGTTGATGTTCCAGTGGAAGAATGAGGGGAAGAACAGGTAAGCGTATCAAAATCAACTCAGTAATCCATTTTTTCCATTCAGATTTCTTACCTGGCTAGCCCCCTTGTTAGTTCCCATTTGTAGACTGATTGTGGCCTGATCTAGAGGTTGGTCTGCACCCAACTTTGGATCATAAAGGTGTCGACGTGTGCCATATGCTGTCATACCTTGCTGGCTGGCAAACTTGTTAGTGCCCATCTAGGAAGAATGCAATATTGACAATTAGACTCATCATTCTGTCTTTGCCAAGTTTCTATTTTATATATAGGTTAAAAGCTTCCCGTTCATTCTGTCACTTAGACCTTTTCTCCATTTTCTCCTTAGTGATTTATATCATGTAACATCACTCAGCCACGACCGATAATAAAACACTCCACATAAAGACAGCTACATGGTGTCACTGTAAATCACAAGTGAAGAATTGGTCCTTTTCATGTCTTCTGTTTCCTTTAGCTATTCAGCAGTGATTTTAATGCAGGAAAACTTGCTTCAAAGCACTAATGACATCCCTAGAGATAATTTTTTGGGGAACAAACTGGCAAAAATCACATTGGCAAATATAATCTTTAGACAACAATATGCCAGTTTTAGTGAGACAGGTATAAAATGGAACTGAGGGCACTTCACCCACAGTCTTTGCACCATTTCTGAATTCTTTCAAGAATTGAATCTCCTACGCTTCTCTCCTTATCACCAGTTGAGCCTGTTAATTTCTAGCTTGGCTGCAGTGTAAAATACTGATGTTTCCAGTGATGAAGCTTGGAAGAAGTTCATGAGTGGTCTGTTTTCAGTCTGTGGGCAAAACTTTTTGCCATTTCCCAGCTGCAGGCTTCAGCTGGCAGAGCATCAATAATGACATCTAGAGTAGGAGCCAGATGGGGTCAGAATGATGAAAATAGCATCATATTGCAAGCCCCACTCATTTTGCACATGAATTACAATGTTATGTATTTCAAAGTGGTGGAGCCTACAAACAAAATCATTTTCAATTCTCCACTGGTATCCATTGAGCCCTTAAACAGAAGTGACTTGAGAGTTTTACAGGCATACCTTTATAGGAATTGCTCCTATATTTTTGGTGCATGTCACTGAACAAAAAAAAAAAAAATCTACTGATTCCCATTTACTGTGCAGTAAATTGTTTTGATACCCTGCACACAATAACCCAGGTGAAAACAGCTCATGTGAAATTGACAAAAATGTATGTTTTCTTTTTTTTCCCTAAGCAGTGGGCTCAAAGCATGCTTAGGATCTAGTCTCCTGGATGTGTCTATTTTGGAGAAGAAATCTTCTAATAGCATATTTTCTTTCCCTGCAATGTAAAATGGGATAAAGGGAATTTCTGTTGCTACTCTTCCTGCAATTTTCAGTGTTTTGTTCATAATTCTCATCAGCATTTTTTACTGCCTAATGCACACGTGGCTGACCCATATGAGCTAAAAATAGCAGACACACTGGGACCATTGTGCCTCTGCAGTTAACTAACTGGAGGAAGCATTGACTAGTTCTTGGTACTTCAAGGCTGACCGTGGTGAGAAATGTTGCAGATCAATCTCAAACTGTTTCAGGAAGTTTGGACAGAAGGATGAAAGCACTTGTGGCCACAGTACACATTTGGACAAAGAAACTAATTTTGAAGGTATAGCAAGGTATCCTAAATCAGCACTTTTCAACCAGTGGTACAGGTACCACCTGTGGTACATTGGCACCTGGCAGGTGGTACACGACCATCCTAGAAAAGTGGTAGCGGGGGAGGGGAATGAGCTGAACCAGAGGCAGCACTGCACAAGCCTGAGCGAGAGATGGCTGGAGCTGCAGGGCTGTCAGGGCTTAGCGGAAGCGCCAGGATCAGTGCCAGGCTCCAGCTGATCGGCGCTTCTTTGGGACTGTCAGCTCAATGGAAGCACCAGGATCAATGCCAGGCTCCAGCTGGAGCTCAGCACTGATCCTGGTGCTTCTGCTGAGCCCCGAAGAAGCACCAATCAGCTGGAAAGCAGCACTGATCCTGAGGCTTCTGCTGAGCCCAGAAGAAGCGCCAATCATCTGGAATGTTGCAGCATCTCCAGGGTCTTGTGATTTACATTCAGATGCTTGGGAACTGATGCATATTTATGATGGTCACAGTGTCCCAGGGTCATGTGAAGTGACCAAAACCTGCGGCAACCACCCAGCAGATGGGGGGGAATAAAAACCAAACACCCCCACCCCACCCCCACTGCCAATCCTCAATAGAAATGCTCACAACAATGGAAACCTCAGACAAGAGTACCGCTGGGCGGGCAGGCAGGTAGGTATCTTGCTCGGCTGTGGCTTGGGGGGCACTTTTTTCAGTGCCATTGTAACTTTGAACAGTCACTAAACGAACTGTTGTAAGTCAAGGACTACCTGTTATTTTATCACTTTTTTCCCTTTTTGGGGGGTCATCAAGTTTTTGATACCTTGCTAGGCAACTGATGGTACTCAGATGTTGCCATATCCTAAAAGTGGTACAATGGGTGAAAAGGTTGAAAAGCCCTGTCCTAAATTATTCCCTACAGACAATGCTACAAAATATCTGTATCTTAGGGGAACAGTTGCTATGACCGAAGCTACACACCTGCAGTCCTATGATGTTCCTTCCTTCTTTCAGCTTTTCAGGGAGGAATTTCCGCTGTTGTTTTTCAGCATATTTCACTCCGACATTCACCCTGTTGCCTTTTGTCTTTGCCTGTGTTGTGACAATTAGAAATCCTTTCAGGTGTTTCTCTCCAGTATTTGCCAGAATGAGACAGGTCTGTTTTGCAATGGGGTTGAGAGCAACAGGAAGTTTCCCCCAGCCTCAGACGTAGTTATTTGATTTCAAATTGGATCAAAAACCCGTTTAGTTCTGCAAATGATTTCCTTGAGACATCATCTCTGTGATGTCCAGGCTGAAATCTCAGCACCTTCTTTATAAGTGTATAAAATTAGGCTGAGCATATACGGAGGTGCAAAGGGAAAGGATTCTGTACTTGCTCTTAGTACTTCTATGATCCAGTATTTAACTAAAAATACTGAAAAGAGGTTTCTCCTGCCCATCAATATAACTCCTCTGAAAAAAGACTTATAGATCAATAAGGGATATTGTAGATCAGAGGCAGTATAACAGGTATTCTCTTCTAGTAGTGAAAAGCTAGACTGTCATTTTGAATGAAATCTTAGGCCACACTGTGATTTTGACCTCCATTCACATTTGCAATATGGTGATTGTGTTAACCAATATTAGATTATTGGGGTGATATCTATGAAACACTTTCACGTTATCATACATTGAAGAAAAACAACTTACCATGCTAGCTAAAGCAATCAGAGTTGACTGGACCTGGGTATGGTTTGTATTTTCAAAGAGGTCATTTGCTTCAAAAATGTCATGGGGTTTCACTCCATATCTTGTGATAGCCTTAATAAAGTTGCCAATATTTTCCAGCTGCAAAACAGGAGAGTCAACTAATCATTTACAATCATTGAGAGTTCTCCAAGAATGGTTTCCTTTATAATGCTTCTCCTAATAAGTAGATGGTGGAATGTAAAGGTCTAAGGCAGCCTTCTCCAATATGGCATGGAACTGTAATTCCAGCATGTCTGAAAAGCATTATGGGGGAAAGACTGATTTAGTTCTATCTCAAAACTCAAGGGGAAAAATCGTAGCCATCTACATAATGCATCACAAGTGCAATAGTGCAAGCATAAGGACTCTTCTAATAATGAGTGGATTCATGAGCCAGAAGTGCTTCCTCCTCTTTTTACAGTCAGCAAAGATGTGACAGTTAGTAAAAAGATGTGAAAATAGAAAGATGAGTGTTATTCTGCCCTGTTTGGTAATTGCTCTGTACTATCAGAATAGCCACACAACATGTACTTCAGTGGTCCCCAACCCCCGGTCCATGGACCGGCACCGGGCCCCAGCATGCCAGAAACTAGGCCGCACAAACAAGTGAAACCTCATCCATGGGATGTAGGCAGCATGCGAAACCATGCCCCCTCCGGTCCACAGAAATACCTCTCCACAGAACCGGTCCTGGGTACCCAGTTGGGGGCTGCTAATGTACTGCATAGCAGAACTCTACCAATAAAAGCTACTTTTGAGAGGGAGTATTTGGATCAAAAAAGCAGGGAAGGGAATTCCTTTCCTCATTGATCTTCATACTCCCAAATGCATCAGCCAGTCTTTCTCCCACAATATTTGGCTGCATGTTTTTGCTCATTACACTTTGAAATAGAATTTCACTATTTATTTCTGTCCAATACACTTGTATTTGTTAATAGTTCACTTCTTTAACCTTTTTATTTTAGTTGAAACATTTCTTTGTTTGTGTTGCCAATATATTACTATTTACAGCAAGCAGCTGTGTACTAAAGAGAAAAGCTCAGCTATTTCCTGCTGCCATAATGACAACCTTTTTCATGAACCTTAGTAAAAGTTTCTTAATAATATAAAGGTAGCACTGATCTGGACATAGGTAAGAGAGAATGGTACCTGATGCCAGTTCTGGGTAGACTCATTCACCTTTCTTACAGATCCAGGTTGGAGTTTGTTGATAAGTCTGAAAGAGAGGGGGAAAGGAAAGTTTTACCCCAAGGTATTTATTTCTTCAGCATCAATATAGGACTTCTGTGCATTTACTTTGATGCAAGAATACCACGTAATTCAGAAATGGCAACCTATATGCTTTTTTTCTTCTGAAAAGTTGTATCTAAACAAAAATACTTATGAGTGCTCACCCATGGAATATTCTCAAGAAATGGTCAGTCAGAAGAAATTTGCTGTATCATTTTTACATCTTCAAAAAAGACTCAGTGCAGCTCAGTAATCTTAGTTTTAAAATCCCAGGCATTCACTATCAATTAAATATATTAAAAGCTGCAGATTCTCCAACGTCTTAATTGGTCTCCAAAAAAGTAGTGTCTTTATTAAGCAATTTAGGAGATATTTACAGTCATGATTCTTGGTTGGAAATTAATGGAATTTAAAAAAATATTAAGGGATGTGGGTCAGTGATACTACAAATATTTTGAGATTGCTTTAAACATATAGAGTGGCATTGCAGCCTTATACCTGTGTGTACAAATACTGGTTATGTTTAAATTGTTTAATATTCATAGTAATAAAAACAAATGCAGTAAAATGGAAACAGTGGTACATCTGCTTTTCTGCCAGTTGGCTGAGATGATAAATAGAGTTGCCAAATAACCTGGAAAAAAAATCCATCTTTGATGCATTTCATTATACCTAAGCCACCAAAAATGTTTCAGTCCCCTGTCTTAAATTTAAAGCATCCTTGAGTTATTCCATTACTTGGAATTGGGGGAACATATTTAGGGATCAAAATTTTGAACACAGGGGATACATCAGATTTCTTTATCTCCTTTTTAAGTAATTTTAGTTTTATTTGTTTTATTATCCAGGTTTATCAAATTATCTATAATAAGTCATTCATTGTCTTGGTGATGATGAATCCTTGGCATAGCTTGAACTGTGAATCTAAATAAAAATGTTCCTCATGTACGAGTTTTTTTTAAAAGGAGATAATATTTCTTTTCCCCCATACAGTATATCTGAAAATGCCCATCTAGAAAAAGATAGTCATTAAAAAATTAATTTGAATTAAAACAGTTAATGCTGTGAAGCCTTCTTTGTCCACCCTCAGTCTTTGGGAAACAAACTTCCCCCTCCTTCTGTGTTGTCTTACTCGCATAGGATGACTCCATCTTTCAGACATTCCATGAAGTTGTCTCCAATGCGCTTCCCTGTTGCTTCCTCAATCCATTGTCGCAATTCAAGTTCCCGCTGCAGATCATATTTCTGTGCTAGCTGCAGAAAGAAATAATGTACATATCTGGATGCTTGTGAAGAAAGCAACCTTTTACAAGTTGTTGCCTAGTGAATTCTTGGCAAATGTCATGTCATCCAGTGGGCATCCCCAGTAGACCTTAATGACTGAGAAATGTGTAAGAGAATGCATGTAAGAGAATACATTCAGAGCCTAGATCGGTAAAATGTCAGCATGGACACTTGGAATATAACTCAGCAGTGCAGCAGCAATCAGTGCTTCTCTTTCAGACAAGTTTACAAATAGATCTCTCCCCTCCAGCATTCTAGCTATGATGCTGCAGCTTTGTAGTTTCCAGACCAATCTCAGAAGCAGCCCATGTGTGCACATTGAAAGAAATGTATCTTGAATGTAGCCATTAAGGCTCTGCACTCTCCAGAAATAATTTGAATAAAATTTTTCAGACCTTATACAAGCATGTCACCTCTCATTCATTCATCAGTCTTTTTTTTTCAGACATCTGCATGAGCCTGAAATAAAAGTAGCAGTTGCTTTAAGAATTACAAAGATTTTTAATGGGACTGGCAATTTTTTTCAAGGACTGGCAAAAGATGGGCTGTTTTAAGGAATAGCACAAAGATGCTGTACCTGTGTGGAGCCCAAAAAATTTATTCCAAGCTTTATTGAAAGGTGCACTGCCTTAGTAGCTGCTCTACTGTCTCATCCAGGACCATCTACAGCAGTAGTTTTCAACCTTTTTAATGCCGCGACCCCCAACCGATTGCAAGTCGAGGACTAAGCCGGTCGTAAGTCGAGGACTTTCCTTGCCCGGGAGCACCGCGCATGCGCGGTGCCGCCCCCTGCGCCGGCCGAGGCGTAGCTGGCAAGCGGCAGAGACGGAGCAGGCCAACCACCGGCTGGGCCACCAGCTGGCCTAGCCTAAGGGAGGTAAGGCACCCGCCGGAAAAGGGGGAAAAAATGGCAGACAGCCTTGCTTGGCGACCCCTGTGAAATGGTCGATCGACCCCAAATGGGGTCGTGACCCACAGGTTGAGAACCGCTGATCTACAGCCATGAGCGATAAGAGCTGGAAAAAGGTTTTCCTTGCTATATGGAAGCCAGCTGTGCCTTAGTAGCTTTCAAAGCTTTGAACCTCCAACATCATGGGATCTTCCCTAATTCCCAGGCAAGAATCTGCCAGAATTCTTACGGGGTTTTCTTCTAGGCAACAGTTAAGTGTTGCACACACTTGCCAGACTTGGATGATATAAATAGAGCTGATCGGGATACTGATTTAGTCATGAATTGTAGCTCTGAGGATTTCTGTTGTTTCATTCTTAAGTGAAATGAAATCTTCGATCCAATCCAAAGTTTAAAAATTACTGCTGACAAAGTCAAAAGATGAGACATTTTCTCTCTCTCAAATCTCACCACCACCATATATTAACTACAGTTATTTATGCACTGTAAAAATTAAAAGCTAGAGTTAATGATTACGATGGGTACGTGTATGAGGAAAGACTAATTGAAAATTTTAAAACTACTCTTTGTCAAAGTAAAGTTCAGTTTATTGTATAGGTTGAACTTTACATTGGAAACAATGCTTTGTGAAGGACGGAGATTTAATAAAACAAAAGATATCTCTCATCCTGGCTTTAAAAAAATACTCCATTTTGCATTGGGTTTGAAGTTTGTATATTGGGGAGCAAACATTCTTTTACTGATTTGAAAAAAAAGGAAGGGCAAATAGACACGGAATAAGATCTTGTCTTATTTTACAACACTACTTTTATAATACCTTACCTTCTCTATCTCTCTCTCAATCTCTCTCCCCTCTTTCCTTTCCTCTCTCCCTCACTCTTTCTCATATCACTAAAAAAATAATAACTGGCCACATATTTCAGCACTGAGTGAATTCCTAGCCAACATGTATGCGTGTGGAAACTATGTTGGCAAATCCCTGTGGCAATGGAAATCTTCTATTTTAATCATAGGAAATAGCATGTGTGAAAGTTCTAGGTCAGGGGTAGGCAACCTTGGCTCTTTTATGACTCATGGACTTCAACTCCCAGAATGCTGGCTCAGGAATTCTGGGAGTTGAAGTCCACGAGTCATAAAAGAGCCAAGGTTGCCTACCCCTGTTCTAGGTCATTCCACGTGGATAGTCAGTCTTCCAAATTTGTGTTTCTAAATATACACTAATCCCATATAATGATCCTAAGAATATTTCTGTATTAGCTGATTTTAATAATTTAGTACAATAATCTGTCTGGGACTACATTAGGAAAAAGTTTCCAATGTTGTTGGTTTATAGACAATATACATGTATTGCTAGTTTTACTGAACTCATAGTTCAATATTATTATCTTAGCTAAGATTCTTGTTTCATATCCTACTCCGGATGTCAGTAAGGGTGTCTTCCAGGACAAAAGGACGTGGGAGATATGTTTTCCATAAACATTTCTCTTTATTGCTCCAGATAGTGGCTGTTTCAAAGAAAAGCAGGAAATAAACTGTGAAGGCAGAATTTCTTATAGCCTTTCTGACTAAAATGGCAACTAGCACTGGTAGATTTTATTCCATCATTCTGCTTATTTTGTCTAAATTGGTCTTAAAATAATGTGTTCAGCCTCCAAGATCACCCTAATTATTCATGATTTGAATAATTTTCCTTATTTAAAAATACAGATTGCTGCAGTACATTTAAGATTTTTCCCCATAATGGATTGCATTGACATTCTTTTTGCTGATTTTTCAAGGAACGGTGTTTGAAAAACAAGATGGCCATATTTATCATTGTGAAGGTTTAGTGCAGCCATCGTGCTATTACTGTGGCAAAAAACCCTGCAAATAGAAGATTATGCTATCAAAAAATACCATTTTTGCTGCCAAACTGAAACTCTGATAGTAGTTAAATTCTGTATAGACTTTTATATAGCTTATATGATCCTTGAAAATCTACAGTTTCATCAGTCAAACATCATAAAAATTTAATCAGATGTGGGACTAATATCCCCAGTGTTTTTATTATTATTATTATTATTATTATTATTATTATTATTATTATTATTATTATCATGCCACTGGGAAAAGCAATCTTGGCCCTAGTCCGCCACTTTATTTGGAAATGTACCTGCAAGCCAAATCCTGGTCTTCCTTCTAAGGCGTTTGCAGCCCCCCAAAGCAGCTACAGCCCTAGTTTGACTGGTTGATTGTGAACAGATTGCTCAAGTGACAGGAGACAGCTCTGAAGAGTTTGTGATCTTGTCAAAAAAATAAAAATAAATCCAAAACAGTATTTCAGCCTTGTGAAAAAATTCTGCCAGAAAAATATGACAGGTGATGGAATAATTAAGATTAGGCATCTTCATAGACTATGTTTCTGCTCATTGTTGCTAAAAAATAAACTTCTCAGGAAAGATGCTGGAGCAAAAATGTTCCTGCTCCAGGATGATGGTAGGCATACGTCACCCCCCCCCCCAAAAATCTCTTCCTTCTTTCAAAATGAGGCTCCTATGAAGGGCTCATGGAAGAGAAACATGCTTGAGCTAAAACGTCTAAGGTCTGAAACAACAGTGCAGGTGGGAGTATGGAACAAAAGAAATATCACTTGAAGCAAAGAAAATGCCTGTAGGTGTGTTCGGCAATTAGATTATTAAAAGAGTTTTGCCAAAGAACTTGTTGGTTGTTCATATCAATATGTAGCATTAAACTCACCCACTCTCTAATCCTACTCCCAATTTCTTGTTTTGAGAAACACTGGCTGCTGGCATTATTCCTGTATCTTTTATAAGCAGTCTGCCACTGGGACAAAATGTTTTGGGTGGACATGGAGGCAAACAGAGAAAAGTATTAACTTGTTTAGCTTTAAAAAGTCAAAGGTTCACTTGAATCAACTTTGAATCCTGCTGATTGCAATCCTGCAGTTTTCTTGGCAGTTTTACGGAAGTGGTCTGCTTGCTACTGTTTGCTTCTCAGATGTTTTTCTCAGTTTAGGGAACTGCCTGAGTATTCCCACTTGATCTCTCATCCAAATACTAATCAGAACCGGCCTTGTTTAGCTTTGTAATATCAGCAAGGTTAGCTAGATGTTGTGGCTAAATGAAAAACCACAAAGCCATGAACTAGATGACTGAGAATCTCCACAGACACAAAGCCAATAAGAAAAACTGAAAACTTGATTTGTTATTTCTTTTTTTAGTTTGTTAGGACTCCACTTATTAAAATGAGTGGCAAGAGTTTTTTGAGCTTCTGGCCTGGCATCCTCATCATCTTCTCTTAGGTTCCATATTATTTCAAAATCCTCTCTCTTCCTCTTTGTCAATACCAGAACACACACACGGACTCAAAGCAAAATGCAGCAGCTGAAGGAGCTAGAGCAGTGGTTCTCAACCTTCCTAATGCCGCAACCCTTTAAAACAGTTGCTACTTCATAACTGTAATTTTGCTACTGTTATGAATCGTAATGTAAATATCTGATATGCAGGGTGTATTTTCATTGTTACGAATTGAGCATAATTAAAGCATAGTGATTAATCACATAAACAATATAGCAATGCTCGCTGGAGAAGCTTGCTCTTCCTTGCTCAAAAATGTTGGGAGGGAGGGAAGGGGAAGGAAGGAAGGAAGGAAGGAAGGAAGGAAGGAAGGAAGGAAGGAAGGAAGGAAGGAAGGAAGGAAGGAAGGAGAGGGAGATTGAAGGGGAAAGGATGGAGTTGGATGGAAGGAAGGAAGATTGAAGGGGAAAGGAAGGAGATGGAGAAGGAAGGAGATTGAAGGGGGGAAGCGCTGCCAAGGACACCCAAGCAGCTCTGCACAATTGTCCGGGGAGGGGGGGAAGGCTCTGGCGGAGAGTCTGGTGGAGAGCCAAGCGGCGGCACATCTCGGGCCTCGGAAGCTGCGCGGAAGATCCGCACGCCTCAGAGCCATCAGCTGCCCTCTCACACCTGCCAACCTGGAGCCCCCCATCCTCATCCCGGCACCTCTTGCCCTCTCCCAGCCACCCCCCCAGGACCTACCCACCCCTCCAGCCTCCTGAGTA